ATGGCAATTGAACTGGCACATTGGAGGAAGGATGGAGGCTCAGGAGATCCATGTTACGGTGACGCCCATAAACTAGCTAGTTGACTCGTCACACCGCAGCATTCCCGCAATAACACACTATATGCTCACCTTCGAGGAAAAAGGGTTCTTGCCATATGCGGGATGAACAGGTCCATAGCTGTGGGAAATGCCTCCGCCAGTCGGTAGCGCACCCAAATAAGACTAAAGGGTGGTGATAGCCAGATGCCGTTTTGGACTCTACACACAGGCAAAGCGCGCAGACACGCAACACGTCCCGCGATCAGGCGTGCGAATAACTATAGCCAGCCGCGCTACCTTGTCTGCGCCCTCTCACGTTTGGTTAATCGCTACCCTGGCTGCATCCTTTCGACAGCTTCCCATCACTTTCGCCGCGGGACTTCCGCATCAAAGCACGTTGTGAACAGCCGAAACGACATCCAGCCACCACAACCTTTCCAGCTCCATTTCCGCGCACTTTCAATTTATGAATGCGGCACAATCTGCAGCTGCAGATCTGACTACCTCGCACATCGTAAAGATCGTAAAGGCGTTGCAGATAAGCGCACAGACTATCTTAGAACTTCCTGGCCTAGGTCCTGATGCGAATGTCGTGCATGTGACGCCATGTCGCCGCAAGAAGGATCTCCTGAACCTCCATCCCTCCTCCAATGTGCCAGTTCAATTGCCATTTCCTGCCATGACTATGTTCACGGAAATGCATTATGTATTAGCCAGATTTTTTTTCTAAGCTCAAATTCCATTCATCCTTTCGCTATCTCCACTAGCCTTGCCACAATTCCTCTACACATCGCACCTATTTTGTTCTTTTCTGTGGCTTTAGCTTTACCAGTGGCCTTCCAATGAGCATGTATTACACCAAACTTTGATATGTGATCAACAACGGAATAAATAATAATTCATTCAATCGAGAAAATTTCAGAGATCTGCTTCTATAGGTACAATCACCCTCACTGCATGGACAATTTGGGCGAACGGGAGGTTTAACGGTGAGCGTGAACTTCAGTTGCAATGATCAAATAGAAAACAAACAAGAAAAAAAATCAGCCAGTAGTTACAAACTAGCCTAACACCTGCGCAGTAATGAAACGACTCGAAGAGCAGTCTTTTGCGTTGTGGATGTAGGGGCGTGTCAGGAAAAGGAGAGGTTTGGCGCCGTCAGCTCCTTCTCCACCATTTGTTGAAGCGAGTAAGCGACTGGGCGGGCTGGCACCGCGCCAAACCCATCCCCTCAAAGGCACGACCCATCATCCGCACTGAACAAAACTGTATCTCTTCCACACGAAAAGCGAGTTGCAGTGTATAAGTTTTTTGAGAAAGTAATCACTGCTAAGAACCTTTGAACCCTACCTTTCAAGTCCTTTTGCGTCATTGACGCAAAATTTTCCACTTCTTCAAACAAAGTTCTATTCCAAAGACCCACAGATAACACCTTTGGTGCTTCACCTCTTGCCGCTCTGATTTTTGGTCGAACTTTGGTCGAAATTTTTCGAATCGGATTTGAGCTATTTCTAGTCGAAAGGAGGTAACCGGGGACTTTTCCACGAGAGAGGTGAGATATACTGACTTCTGTCAAGCGTAAACGAAGCTCATGCTATCGCACAGCTCTACAAGTTCATTACGAGAGGCAAGTGATCACAGGAAACATCAGTAATGACCCATGGGGGACTAGAGGCATGCCCACACCAATCCGAACTGCGCCAACAACCAGAAATGCGATTTTCGTGTTCAGGAGGACAAACTACCGTTAGGACAAGTGTTCAGTACTTTTGGTGCCTAGAGATGACTTGTCGCCGGCGACTGCGACACGGGCGCCAAGGGTAAAACCATCCCAGGAGACAGAATTCCATCCAGTCTACTTACTGGAGAGAAACTTCGATCAAAATCTGGGCTGAATTCCGAGAAACGGCGCAGTAAAACGTACATCGTGCCCTTTCTCCTGAAACCATCAAAAATCGGGAGGTATGGGCTATGATTTCTTGTGAGCCACTTTATAACCGCATCTTTCTCCACATTTCACAAGTTTCGGGCCATTTTCCAGAAAATCTACTTTTCAAAAACTGTAGAAGGCCAAAAACGTCCCACCACTTGCTGCTATACAAATACTGTTTCGTTGGGAAGTAAATGGGTTTCTACGCTGTGTTCAAAGGAACCGCGAAGGGAAATGTTGCCTGCCGAACGACAGTCGTGCCAACCATGATGTGGGAACTTCACACACAACCCTTTGTTAGCTGCCCGTATAGAGGTGACATCGAGAGAGGCGGCGATTTTGAGATTTGATTGATTTATTCCTTAATAAGACCCCTCGCAACTAAAGGAGTACCCCACACATCGTTCAGGAATCCTCAGCATACGAACTGTTCTGGGTGGCATGACTATAATCAAACACTAGAAATACCCTTCAAACTTTAGTAGACCTCCATATTCGACCACGAAAAAGTACGCTCACAGGGAAGAAGCCAGTCAAAGGCAGACATCGTGCTGAGCCAGCGAAATGTTCGAGGTGACGGGGTCAGAAACAGAATTGTATGTGCTCGTTGAATTACTCCCAAAGGAAAAAGGGAAACATCAAACAGCTCTAAGTAGAGTCAAGCTTGTGCCAAGCGAGAGAATATGAACCGATGTAGATATCGGCTCACAGGTCA